TTTATAGTCAATACAGATGTCATCTATGTTTGACAAGTCTACTTTTTGGCAAATTTTATATATGTAAATGGAAGATATTCAGTTAAGGAGTTTAATGTCAATGTTACAATAAAATGTTTTTGTTTGTTTGTTTGTTTTTGTCTTCTAAAGATGTGCAGTAACGGTCCTGTATTAGGAACGTCTGTGGATACAGCTGCAGAGATCATTCCAAGTGTAGTCAGCTTTATTGAAACAAAACTTGTTGCTTGCTACTTGCAGATAATGCAGCCTGACCTTGCTCTCAGCCATGCACACAGGTAGGATATTTTTTATAATGGAAGCCATTTACCGCTATGTAATATATAGAAGTTTACATTTCACTGTTTTCATGTATATTAAAATTTGTGTATATTAGGTGGGTAGTTAGTTTCCAGAAACACACGGAGCAAGAGCATAAAGCAAAACTCAATGACTTCTACCCTAAGGTTTCACAATTAAATTCTTACCTGGAGACATCTGGGTGCTGCTCTCCACTTCCTCTCTGCTGTCAGGAGAACTGGATTCTTCTGTTTAGAAACTTATTGTATCTCTCCTGAGCTAGGTTCTACGGTGCAAGGCCAGCTCATTGGCTGAGGGTGTTAGCTGATTGCTCTCAGCCAATGAGCTAAGTCCTTAATTGATGGGGTTTATTTTTTTTTTATTTTTTTTTTATAAAACATGGAATTAAAGGGACACTATAGCCACCAAGACAACTTTAGCTTAATGAAGCAGTTTTGGAGTATAGATCATGCCTCTGCAGTACTACTGCTCAATTCTCAGCCATTTAGGCATTAAATCACTTTGTTTATGAACCCTAGTCAAACCTCCCTGCATGTGACTTGCACAGCCTTCCTAAATACTTCCTGTAAAGAGTCATCTGATGTTTATCCTTCCTTTATTGCAAGTTCTGTTTAATTTAGATATCTTATCCCCTGCTATGTTGATAGCTTGCTAGACCCTGCAAGAAGCTCCTGTATGTGATTAAAGTTCAATTTACAGAGAAAGAGATAGAATTGTTTAAGGTAAATTACATCTGATTGAAAATGAAACCAGTTTTTTTTCATGCAGGCTGTGTCAATCAGAGCCAGGGAGGTGTGACAAGGGCTGCATAAACAGAAACAAAGTGATTTAACTCCTAAATGGCAGTGAATTGAGCAGTGAAACCTGAGAGGCATGATCTATACACTAAAACTGCTTCATTAAGCTAAAGTTGTTTAGGTGACTATAGTGTTCCTTTAATGCAAAAGATCAACATTTAGACAATGTATCAATACTTTGACTGTAGCTGAATTGGATAAAGTTTCCAAATCAGAACCTTATACCTATATACATGTATAGCTTGGAGGAAAGACGAGACAGGGGGGATATGATATATAAGACAAGGCCAGGGACTAATGAAAGTATTTAGAAATTTGGGTAAACTTGATGGGCCGAATGGTTCTTATCTGCTGTCACATTCTATGTTTCTATATTTTGTCATCTGGACCTTCATTACACTTTGTCTGGGTGTTGAAGAATACTCAAACATGCAGACATATAGTTCGGAAGAGACTGAGTCAGTCTAGTAAAGGTATAGTCTGAAAGAGAGAAACAAAGAAGTAGATACAATGATAAGGAAAATCTATAGAAAAGCATCAAGGTGAACATAGTTTCTAAAACATCAAAAATAATGCATTCTTATGACTTCCAGAGACTGTGTAGGCCGGAAAGACTAACAATGTTATTAACTAAAGTGATGATATCCAGGAATTCAAAGTACATTTCAAAATTAGGCCTAAAGAGACAAATTAGAAAATATCTCCAAGTCAATTCTGTTTATAGTTTCCCTATTCTGGTCTTAAATTTTTAGTTAACTTTGAGTTCCTGGCAATACTAACTTTAGTAAATAACCCTGCATGAGTTGAATTAACTATACAAAAATTACTCATTTTAAGCCAAAACAGTTATATTAGAAAAGGTCTTGTGCTTTGTTATTTTTTTACTTAGTCTATTTTGCAAATAACAGACTTATATTCCTGTGTCACTTTACACATTTTCATATTGTAACAGTTTTTTTTCCCCATTCGAAATTCAGTAAGACCATGTGCTCTGTGAGAGTAAGTAGAGACTAGCTGAGCTCTAATGGGTAGTTATAGACTTGGTCCATGACATCATAAAGACAGCATGACATCATAAATACAGCATGACATCACTGAGGTTCTAGGTAGCTTTCAGAATACCACTATTGTCATTCAAACATAGCCAGGTAATATATAAGGTGTTAAGCGATGTTTATCTAGCATGGTTAAGTTTTACAGAGAATGTATTTTTATGATGTACACAGGGTGAGTAGATCAGACAGACCATTTGTTAAATTAACTAGTAAATGTTACACTTTATGCCAAAACAGTTATATTGGAAAAATTATCCTAATATGCTATTTTTTTTTACTTTGTCTATTTTGGACAAAGATTTAAAATTTCCATTTCAGTTGTCTGAAATTTCACATCTGATGAATATTCAAATGTAACAGGGATATACTAACGTCAAAATTGCTGTGAATGTGAAATCTAAGGCCAAAACAGCCAGATTGAAAACAGAATTGACTAAAACAGAAATTCCTCATTTGATTGTATTGACCTGAATTTTGAGATTCACTTTGAATCCATGGCAATTCTCAATTTAATGAATAATCATTTAACTGTGTACCCCCAAATCATTCTCAGGGTTATTCACTGAAGTGAGAATTCAAAGTGAATTCCAAGTGAACTTACATTTTAAGGTTAGAGTAGCCAAACAGAAAGCATACCTGACTTTGAAATGTTTTCTAGTTTGGCTTTTTTTACCTTAATTTTGAAATTCACTTTGAATCCTTACTTTAGTATATAACGGTGTCTGAATGTGCGCATGGCTGCATATGCTCTATAAACATCAAGCAGAGATGGCTAAAGGTATTTTTTAATGTTTATTCTATGACATCATAAGGGCTGTGTGAAATTGCTGAAGTTATGTACTGCAGACACAGCCAATTAGCATATAAGGTTTTAAAGAGATAATATTTTTAAATCAAGGCAATGCTTTATAGAGAATACATTATCACTTTTATATTGTGGAATCAAAGTTTGAACTGATGTATCCATGAAAAGGTTTTTTTTTTACTAGAAATGTGTGGTTTACTCACAAAATAATGCATTGCTTGTTTTTTATTTCAAGCAACTGCTGTGATACAAACATCGGTTGTATCCTGCCTGTTCACCACCTAAAGAGCCAGCTATTCACATCTTTTGTCTACAAACCTCCCTGTAGCAATGGTTTGTGTATATACGTGTGTGTAAAGATCTGATCTCTACACCATTGGAAATACCTGATTAAATACAACTGCACTGTATGTTGGATACTACATTGTTGTATGTGTCACATACCAAAGACACTATGGTTTTACAGATAAAGAATCATTTAATACCTTCACTGATTCTAAAAAGGTTATTACTCTGTAGTAAGCTGTCAAATGCTAGCAATCAGTAGTCACATGTGTAATAGTGAGATGATGTAATGATGTAAATTTCTGTAAGTAATGAGAATCACATTTTCCTGGGCAGAATAAGCAGTCGGTAATTTTCTGGTAACTTTTTCTTGAATTACAAATAATTTGCTAGTTTTTATATATGCATTTTAGTGAGATATACATGTTTTGCTTTACTAATCATGTATACTACTCTACATTTTTTAAAAAATTTTTTGTAGGGGGGCTCTTCTTTTAAGCATTTACCCTTTGTTATTAAAGGGACACTATAGTCACCAGAACAACTACAACTTAATGTAGTTGTTCTGGTGAGTATAATAGCTCCCTTCAGGCATTTTCAGAGAAAAAGCAGTGTTTACATTGCCCCTGGGGACACCTCCAAGTGGCCACTCCTTAGATGGCCACTGGAGGGGCTTCCTGGCTTAGGGCTGCACAGTAAGCAGCCCTGTCGTTCAGCGTACCCACGCTCTGCATGGAGACGCTGAATTTTCCTCATAGAGATGCATTGATTCAATGCATCTCTATGAAGAGGTCCTGATTGGCCAAAATGGCATTTGGCCCCGTCCCATGCCAATTTTAGCCAATCCAAAGATTTCCCTATGGAAAAGTATTAGATTGGCTAAAAATCGGCCATTTTGATGAAGTCACAAAGGGGGCAGAGCCAGCGCTGGCGGACCCGCATGGCACTGGAAATAAGGTGAGTTTTAAACTTTTATAGGGGGGCAAGCCACCTAAATAGTGGGTTTAGCACTATAAGGTCAGGAATAGAGTTGAGCGGAAACCTGGATGTTCGGGTCCAGCGGATTCGGCTGAACTTTGAAAAAAAGTCCGGGCTCAGGCTCAAACTTGACCCCGAACCCCATTGAAGTCATCAATGGGGACCCAAACTTTTGGCCACAATAATGCCTCTAAAAACCTACTGGAAAGAGCTAGAGAGCTGCAAAAGCAAGTAAAATGGGGGAAAGAGTAGGACAACTGCCCTGCAAACAAATGTGGATAGGGAAATCACTTAAAATAACATAAAAATAAAAAATACAGCTGAGCCATAGAATAGCACTAGATGGAATCTTTGATTTTAGCTTTGCAAGAACATACATCAAAATCTAAAGCATGGCTGTCAGGAGGATCACCAGAATTATCCATTTGAGAGTGTAGGGTATTCTCTTTCATTGTTCAAACTGAGCTCAACTCCTGATGCATGGAGAAAAGGCCTTCACAAGCCTCTGCTATTGTGTACATAGTTTAAACTATGTGACCCATAGGTTGAGGAGGCGGTGACCGTGGTGGTGTATGTGGAAGCAGCAGTGGAGGAGGAGGTAGCAAACACTGTGTGTGTGTGTATATATATATATATATATATATATATATATATATATATATATTTAATTTTTTTTTATTGGGGTAGCCCACAAAATATTGGGACATACAAAAAAAAAAATATTTGCAACCTCTGCTAATGTTTATAACCTCTGCTACCTAGTTTATACTAAGTGATCCATAGGTTGAGGAGGCGGTGACCATGGCGGTGTAGGTGGAAGCAGCAGTGGTGGAGGAGGATGAGGTAGCCAACACTGTTTTTTATGTCTTTTTTTAATTTTTTTATTGTGGTAGCCCACAAAATATTGGGATATATAAAAAAACGACAACTCTGTTGCGCAGAGTAGCTGTTGACATTATAGTTGCGCAGGCACTTTGTTGACTCTAGAGAACCTCGGGCCGATCGCACATCCTCGTGGCGGCGACTTTGCATGTGGATGTCATCCATATCAACTTTCGATGCCAGTTTCTGCGCCTACCATGGTGACCAAGGGTAATGGGGAATCAGGGTTCCATTCCGTACAGGGACCCTGAGAAACGGCTACCACATGCAAGGAAGGCAGCAGGGGCACAAATGACCCATTCCCGACGCGGGAAGGTAGTGATGATAAATAACAATACAGGACTCTTTAGAGGCCCTGTAATTGTAATGAGTCCACTTGAAATCCTTTAACTCTGATCAATTGGAGGGAAGTCTGGTGCAAAACCACTGACCCATGCGTGTTGCAGCTGAAACTCCACTATCGCCTGCTGCTGCTCGCACAGTCTCAAGTTGCGGATCACTCTGGACCCTGATGCAGCTTCTTTTTACTGAAGCTGCATCAGGGTCCTGGTATGTGGCCGCACAAACGCTGGTGCTCAACACCAGGGGTTGTGAGGTTTCCCTGCACCAGACCCTGCTAATCCATTCCACACTGTGACTTCTCACTTCAACATCAGGCATACTGGGTCCCGGTCGTCCGACCGCCACCCAGACAGTGTCTGGGTCCTGGTCACCGGACTGCCCACCTGACTGTGAAACTACGAATGGATCGTTAAATCTGGTATGAACCCGAACTTTGCAGTTCGGGTTCGCTCAACTCTATTATGAATCCTTTGATCGCTACATGTATTACTTGGATAACTGGTAATTCTCGAATTAATACGAGCACTAGGGGACGGCCGCTCCGCTTTTGGACCCTGCTCCCTCTTATGCTGTGCTGGTGCCTCTGTGCGACCAGCGCCTCTTCCTCCAAACTGCACACGTCGCTCGCATAACCTTGATTCCATGTGGGGTCTAGGACCTCATCATCCTCCACATCATCTTCCACCCACTCCTCAACCCTGTCCTCCTTGCTAGTATGCACACTGCAGAAAGCCACAGCAGTTGGCACCTGGGTTTTTCCAGCATGTAAAGTCTGCAAAGGACATATGGAAATTGTTTTAGAATTGTATCCAGGCAACAGTTTTTCCTATAAACTGACCTCTCAGTTTGACTTGTGATGGTATTGCCCCAGAATTACAATATTGTTGAAGTAGCTCTTAGCTATTGATAACTGGTTTAAATATAGCAGCTTGTTATCTGGTAGTTTCTAGTGTAGAAAATATCAATCTGTTTTCTATTACTTAGATCTGTGTAACAAGTGTTGTAGGTGTGAAACAATATTACTAATGACTGATGTAGTAAATTTGAATCAAAGTTACGCTTCGATTTGACTCTCAGATATGAAGTGAACACCCCAAGTATACTATTTAGCACCCAAAATTTTTTTTTAACATTTTTTACTTTTTAAAATTACAATGTAAGCAGCAGATTAGCAGCAAAACAATTGGAATGTTTACAACTGCGCAGTAAGCGCACTATTTGATGCTTCTATTTGACTCTCAGATATAAAGTGCACCGCAGGCAGCAAATGTACTATTTAGCAGATTAGCCACAAAACAATTAGAATGTTTATAACTGCGCAATAAGCGCACTATTTGACGCTTCGATTTGACTCTCAGATATGAAGAGCCGGCCCCAAAATGTATTATTTAGCAGATTAGCAGCAAAACAATTAGAATTTTTACAACTGCGCTGTAAGCACACTTTTAGATGCTTCAATTTGACTCTCAGATATGAAGTGCACCCCACTAAAATATTATTTAGCAGTTTAGCACCCAAATAATTTTAAGTTTTAAAACTGCAATGTGACAGCAGTATTTGACGCTTCTATTTGACTCTCAGATATGAAGTGCACCCCACTAATGTACTATCCCACTAATGTACTATTTAGCACCAAAAAAAATTTACCTTTTAAAACGCTTATGTAACCGCGGTATTTGAAGCTTCTGTTTGACTCTCAGATATGAAGTGCACCCCACCCCACTAATGTACTAGTCTGCACAATTCTTTCCTAAGCTGTCCCTATCAGCGGCAGCATCCTCTCCCTACACTAATAAGACCGCATGTGCGTGTGGCACTACGCGACTCCAGCTCATATATAGACGCTGGGTCACATGCTGCACTGGCCAATCACAGCCATGCCATTAGTAGGCATGGCTGTGATGGCTTCTAAGGGCACACAAGTCAAATGCTTGTTGATTGGCTGCCCTGCGGCCTTTGAAAACGCGCCATTAAATCGCCAAACACCGAACTCCAACCCGAACATACAGTGATATGTCTGTGTTCGGGTCTGGGGTCCAAAAAACCTAATGTTCGGTACGAACCCGAACTTTACAGTCCGGGTTCGCTCAACTCTAGTCAGGAATACATGTTTGTTTTCCTGACCCGATAGTGTTCCTTTAATATTGAAAATACACTATTTTCGATCTCGGTATAGTAGTTTTTCGTAATGATTTTCTAGATGGTCACTAGTATGGATTTGTTGAAAGCTCTACTTGTGAATTCCTCATCCACTTCCATCACCTACTCATGTTCCCACTGAAGCATGCAACATTTTAATTATAATTGAAAGGAAGAAAATAGTTTGCAAATGACAGACACAAGGCCCTTTAATGGGAAATTGAATAATGTAATCAATAAATTAGTAAATGTCGAAATAGTTGTCAGATCTTTGTGTAGACTTATGGATTTTTCAATGAACCTTGAGATCTGCAAATGTATCAATTGGTGTGCAGTGTCTAATGTCTGTTCATTGTTCATCTATAACTATCTATAATTATACAATTATTCATGAAATTCTCCTACCTGTTTAGCTTCTCTGCTGTGAACAGTGAAAATGGGCAGAATATATACACGGTTGCTGCTGTTGTTGTTAACATGGTAGGTGGGTGATGGTAGGTGGCTTGCAATACAATGGGTTTTGACTCTGGTGAAATCTTAAAAGTGACAAAAAAAAAGTAATTTTAAGTCTAAACACAAATTGTAATGTTTAATGCAACCTTTCTGTCTTGTGGCTTGTGTGACTCTTTTTTCAAGTGTTATCATCAAAATGCACTGCTGTATTTGATTCATCTAATAAAATAGCATCATAAAGACATTTTCACAGGAATATGTCATAAAACACGTTTTTTTTTTTTGGTCTAGTTCCTTTTATATACATACAGTTTTTCATTTTATATCTTTATAATATTTCATGTTTCTTATTGCTAAAACATTAGAGGCACGATAAACAAAATGTATCAAAGGTAACCTTTTAATTACCAAATTAACAAAACCTTGGCATGAAATGCATATGATGCATAGTGAACACATTTGGATATAACAGCAATTTAATTTTGTTTGTGGATTATTATAAAAAAATTATAAAAAAAAAAAAAAAAGTACAAAATGTATATGCAGATGCATACTTTTAAATGTTCATTTACTGATTCAGCCTTTAGAAAATTACTAGGTGAAAAATAGTTTAAAGTAGTATATGTTTATCATCTAACTTGCAATATTTTAGGCAGGGTTTAAAATAGGATGAAATACTGCAGGTATGACGAAATTTTTTTTATTTTGGGTCATGCAACTACAAGAAGACAATCAGAATTTATTGCACCAAAACAAAGAGATTGAAAATGAATGGATAGTAAAGGTCCTTGGTTGTAATTGTATTGTATTGACTTACTGAAAATATATTCCACTAAATGTTTCTATATATTGTACAGGTGTACACAGTGTATGTGGTACCTGTGCCATTTCCAGGTCGTGGCTCCTTGCACACTGATGCCATGTTTCATTCCCAAATGATGCTGTGCATTATTCTGTCATACAGAACACTCATCATTGGTGGCATATTTTAATACCCATGTGTTGTATCAGTTTTCAATCAATGCCGTGAGGTGCTGCATAAATCTGGTATAAGTTTACCATTTACATTGTGGCATAGCAGACATGATGCTGACCCACAGAAGTTCACTACAGTATATATAATTTCTCAGTTATCATAGGGAGATCGCCTTGTTGGGGTTCTTGTATATCGAGAATTGTTTATATTGTATTTGGTTTATTTAACTTCTGACTCTAGTTTGTCAGACTTTTCTTGACTTTCTATAAATCTGACCTTGGATTGTCCCACAGTATTGTGTCTTTCTGTACTCCTTTGACCTCGGACGGTTATCAGTTACTATTTGTCTGCTAGCAGACATTCTGCAAGAAGTACGTTTAACAAAAAACAAGTTGATTTCCAGTATACAGTGTTCCTCCGTACTATTTATGAGAGTCTCTAAGCCACGATATTGTTTTGCAAGTTTTGAATGTGCAATGTTTGAATAAGGAAGAAAATAGTTTTAAGAATCAACAAAAGTAGTACTTTGATTATGGGACTTTTTTTGATTATCTGTACTAAGCATCAGCCCGCCTACTCTAAGGACTGGTATACGCTTCTGTGCTGTCTCTACTTAGGTTTATATGTTAGAGTTAGGCTAACGTTGAGAACATGTACGTCTTATGCCCCCATGCTTCTTAAAAGGGAACTGTCACTTTCTAAAATCTTTAATAATATGTTTACTGATCCCTGTATTTAACAAATACATATTTGTGAGGTGTGAAAAATGAAATTAAATATTGAAATCATGCAACTGGGAGCCTCCATCTTCCTTCCCTGTCAGTCAGTTATAAGTTTTGTACTTTGCACATGGCAGAAAGCATGCAGAGAAGAGGGAAAATTAAATAATGTTTCTATTATTTTTTTTTCATTGATAATGTTTGCCCAGGCTTTGCTTAGTCTAAACTAAATTGTGATATTTGCAAAATCTTCAAAATAAATTTAAAAGAAAATGCATAAACAAGGCATTCTTAATAAGGATAATACCTTATTATTATTGGATTTCTGTGATACACGAAAATGGCTTCTTTTGCAGACTGGCTGATATAGATTAATTGTACTAGAGGAGTTATGGATTATATACATAATCAAAATGGCGGCACTCATTAGTCAAGTCCATTGTTAGTGTTTTCATTTCATCAAAAGGACTTACTGAGAGGAATATACTATAAAACATCAAAGTTGGACAATGTCATTTCCCTTTAATTATGTTCATTATTTGGCTATCTCAATTAATAATAAAAGATCAAACGGAATTGAAAAATCCAGGACTGACTAACATATTTAGCAATGCAAAGGACACTGATACATACTTTATTGCAATTTTTGGAGCTACAATTAACATAAAGTCTAAATCTGAAGCATAATCAATAGGAGTTGTCTTTTAAAAAAGATAAATAAATCACTCTGATTGCCTGCACTAAAAATAGCTTGCAGCCATCAGTTACCCAATGCATGTAAAATGTTTCCTTCCCAATCTGTTTGATGTCTTGCTCACGTTGTAATGGCT